AAAAAAAAAAAAAAAAAAAAAAAAAAAAAAAAAAAAAAAAAACCAAAGAAAAGAAAAGAAAATGTTTACAATTCAGTACATATGTCTGAAACGTTTACCGTGTAAGCAGGCGTCTTCTTACAAAGAAAGAAAAACACATTAGGCGATGCGAATTTAGATTTAAATTGATTGTGAAGTAATAGCGTTTTGTGTGCGGTGCCTAAAAGCGCTAAACAAAAAATTTACATTATAGACGAAAGAAGAAGCGGTTAATGCAGCGCAAAAGTGTTTTCGCTCATTTGTTGTGGCTTTTATAAACTTATATAAGGTTACAAACACCCTTACTATTAATTATTACTATATATGTGCAAATAAGTTGTACATATGGACGTACGCCAAGAACACGCCGAAGAAGGGACATGTAGTCCGCTAGAGCACAAAATGAAAACTTAAGTTCGCTTTAAGTGAACCCATTTAAAATAATTGCTCAACTTGCCACGAATATATTGGAAATCGGAAATGGGAAAAACTTATACATATATATAAAAGTTTATGCGGCTGGCTGTGAAGCCAAATGTTCTTGCTAATTAGCTAAAAGAACAGCTTCACCTAATATTAACGTCTCTTTTACAACGATTGAGGCGAAAGGAGTCGTAGCTGCAGTCGATTACTTATTGTCCGTTCGAGTTCATCTTCTTCCGGAAGTAATGGCCAGCGATGAACAATAATTTTATTAAACTATTTCTTGTATTTTCCTTGAAATTTTCAATTTTTCATTGATCAAAAGAAACCTTAAAGACTTAATTGTTCACCTAATAATTATTTTTGTCACAGCTCCATTTTATTCGTTTGTTAATGTATTAAGCTGTAATATAATTTCGCCTCTACCAGGGAAGTTCCCCTCGGACTTGTTTTTAAAAAGCTAGATAAGGATTGGCATTAAAACAAACATTGGGAAAATTTGCTCCTTATGCTCCATAGGAATAAAAATCACGCACACGCAAATGGATTGGCGAGGCACACTATACTTTATATGGCATGCTTTCAAAGTTTCTCGATGAACACATAAATTATTTAATGGCATTTAGTCACGTAATGTGCAGGAAACATCAAAGGCTATTTTACATAAGTTCATATATATGTATATGGAATAGATGAGATAAACACAATTAATAGTAACCAAGTAAAATAAACGGTTTGCATAGAGAGACATAGATAAATAATGACGATTACTTTATGTAAAGGATGTATATGATAACATATATGCATTGCGTTTGACTTAATTAAACAAAGATGTGCATGTAAATATAATATCGATATAAGTGGGATTATTAAGGATGCATTGCATTTGCTGATCGACTTTCTGTGTATGCGTATGTGTGTATTTATGTATAAAATAATATTGATGGCTTGTAAATAACTTACAGAAGTTTATGATAATATGCTAGAACGTCCTAGAATCAATTGATTGTTGGGCGAGATGTAGAGATTTTATTGAAAACTGATCAAAATATCGTCAACTTTTGCGATATTGCCATCGAACGACATTCCGGGCTGAAGTGTTTACGTGCAGGTGACAAAATTTATCGTCTTTTTAATGTAAAACGTAAAGAAATTTTGATAAGGAAAGGAAAAGCGATACATTTTGTTTTCGTTTTTTTTTTTGTTTTTGTTTTTTTTTTTGGCTCGACCGTACTCCGTTTTCGCAACCAATTATTTACGCGGCAGTCACTACTCTCCGGTGAATAATTAAAGCGAATTCATTGTTTAGTCATTGTTTAGTAAGTAAATACCAAATAGCAAGTCAGTAAGTAAATAAGTAAGTTATCAAGTAAGTAAGTTAGTGAGTAAGTAAAAAGAGTTAGTAAGTGAACAGGTGAGTAGTAATAAGTTAACTATAAGTAAATGGTTTATGATGATATTCTTATAAAAAGGATGATATGATTCTACTTTTTGAGTGATGACGATGATTACATATAGAAACTGAGATTATTCGAAGATTGAAATGATTCAAATTGATGAGAGTTGATGTTTGAGGATTTTAGGATTTTCGCAACGTAAGACTGATCAACAATACGCCGACGGCTAAATAATTACCATTACTCTCGGAACGTGAATACGATGGTCGGGTGTAAGACGGTATATCGGTGGTGGCATTGTAACCGTTCGATGTAGCAGCTGTTGATTGGGCATCATCGCCGGCCGTAGCTGTTGCTGAGGTATTTACAGCAGCCGGGGCGCTGTATACACTGGCCGAACGTGCTGCAGTAGTGTTTGCAGCAAACGTAGTCTTGTTGCGTCTCTCGGGATCATTGTCTGTTATATTTTTCTGATTCTCAGTATAACAGCTTACGCCTATACTGGTTGTAGCGGTTGCCATGCTTCCCGTACCTGTCGTGGTATTTGTATCCATTCGAGTAATAGTCTCAATGGATGTAGAACTACCATATAAGTAGCTCGTTTTGTCTTTATTAGAGGCCGACGAACTTTGAATGGTGGCACTCGAATTAGTGGCTATAGAAGCTGATTGTGGTGGTGGGGGTGGTGGTCTCGATGGTGGCGGTGGCGATTTCATGGCGGTAGCGCGAGCATTTATACGCGACGAAATTGATGAAGACGAAATTGTCGAAGACGATGTGGTCGACGCACTGCCGATGGTATTGCTGGTGGCACTCGTTTTTAGAACGCCTTTGTCGAAAGGATTTACGCGTTCTTGGGGCTCAAAGTTGGTGACCGGTTTGTATTTTGAATTCTCTTGTTCGTAAGTATCTAAAACGCTAGAAGAAGGCTTGCTGCTGGAGCTAACGCTTCCAGCCGTTAGCGTCGAGGTAGACGACGTATCGGAACGAGTATCGAAAGGTTTTTCCGAAGACTGATTTGTATTAGGTGGCGATGAAGTAATAGAAGCATCTCCCACGGCAGAAGTTGGAGCAGATGTTTTGCCTGAAGCAAATGAGAACTGCTTGCCCAAGAAATTGCTACCTGCACTAGTAATGCCACCAACACTTATGCTACCAATACCACTGGTGTTGGTACTTCCCGACTCGCTCGCGGTTCTTCCGCGTTTTTTATTAGCTAATTCCTACATGTCACCAAAAATGCCTGCGAATGTCTTTCTTAAATTTTTCATTGTATCCTCGGCGTCTTCTACAACCGAACTCTGGGATTGCGGAGCTCGTTGCGACGTCCGCGAAGCAGAAGAAATGCTGGATGCCTGAGAAGTTTGTGAATCACGGCGTGTAAGATTACCTGTAGATGGAGCGACGCTGGCGGGTGCGGCCGCGGTAGCGGTAGTTTCTTCGGGCACCTCTGAGATGCTGCTACGGCTAGTAAGTCTACCAATCGAGCCAACAGCTGGTGAAGTACGCTCGGGAATTGGGGGTGGACCGCCCATTGGTGCAGGTCGTGGTCCAGCTGGAGCTGGCGGCGGAGCTCCTGACTCGTCAGTTGGACTCCCGGTTAGCGATGATACTGAGGATCGCGCAGTTATTTTGCCTTGAATTTGTCCTGCACCAGGACGACACACATTCTGGAGAACAAATCAATTATGTACGCATTGGATGAATCGCTAAGTAGGACGCACTCTCACCTGCATGCGAGACGTTACCAAATCAGCTATTTGCCTGCGGTCATCCTCCTGGGTGTCACCCATTAATGCAAAAGTGCTATCAGAAGCTTTAATAATATGTTCCCGGCCATCTCTACCTACTACCAAAGACAATCCGCACACCTCCATACCGCCAAACAATTCAGAAACCTAGAAACATAACTCATTGGCTGTGCATGCGATATTTCGAAAATATTTTTAAGAATCCTTTTCTACATGTCATCTGCATTGGTTATCATCAGTCGCAGTATACTTTCTGTCCCTGTTTTTACACACACCACCGAAGGATGGGGGGTATATTTATTTTATGAAAACGTTTGCAACATCGAGAAGGAATCTTTAGAGACTTCTAAAGTATACATATTCTTGATCGGCATGCCCGTCTGCGTACTGTCTGTCGTAAATATTCTCCTGGCCGCAAAGTGAAACCATCGGCTTCAAATTTGGAGGAAACATTGGAAGTTCTCACACGTAGGGGGGCATTCAAAATGGGCAAATGTTTCAAAGACACGGCTACAGTACAACGTAAACTGAGAATAACACTGTTTTGAGAAAGGGAAAGAAATGATGCCTTGCCCATTATTCACAAATTGCAACAGATATCGTTCTAAAAATTTCCACATTTATGCTACGGATGATCGTATAGTGCCTGTGCAATATTGGAGACAATCGGCCACGCCTATCTAATATAATATAGAACAATGAAATTTCTATTTTTCTTTCAAAGGCGATCTTTTTTAAACGTTGCATCACACTCGCCCACAGCCAGATGTAGTTTTTTCATTTGCCTTACACGTTTCATTTACTACCCAACAAGAAAGCGGAACATGGAGAGGCCAATGTTTATGACATGCTTGCTTACAATAATTTCACTTACAGATACAATGTCTTTAAAAGGTTCAAGTGTAAAGACTTTAAACATAAAATGGGATCATGTAAGTGTTCGAGTTTTACAGCGCTCATGCTCACGACCGCGGAATTCTAATTTCTACATTCGAGGTGTGTACACAAACACTTATTTAGACGACAACACTTCTCGCTACAGAGATATTTGTTTTCTATTCAACACTTATACCGTGCATTGCTGTTGACAACTGCACATCGTAAAGTTTATGCGAATGTATTCTGCAACCGGAATGATTTAAGATACGGCCAATTTTTAAGAAAGGCATTCAGAATCATTTTCCGAATCGTTGCGAATTGGTTTTCTTTTCTTTTTTTAATCCATTTTCTAAACCATCTTAAGAGTATGGCTTCGCAAAATTCGCAACACTTGAGAACTCGTGAATCAATGCTATGACCTTGTATCCTTTACAATGGAGCTTAATTCAAAGTTCTTAATTCCATTTGCAGCCACCTAAGAACGATGTAGGAAAGCCCGTGGTAAACAAAAGTGCGACAAATATCGACATACGAGCTAAGTAGTTATTCAAAGACAATAATTGCTTGAAAGTGCTTGTAGTTGGCAAGAGCTCTCCATTTAACATATATAGCACTTTTTGCCCCCACGATAAGAGTGTCTTCGATTTGATTAAGAATTGTAAACCATTTAAGAGCAACACAAGCCCTCATAACATATCTAGAAGCAATGATGTTCGTTGACTTCTGCCTGTTCAATCTCAAAGCTCCACTTGAGAAAGCAAAATCTCTTCTCAAATTTTTCTATTTTATCGTGGAGAAGCTAGTCTTAAAAATCGATTCATATCGATGCCGATATTCTAATAATTCAAATATTTTATTTATAGAAGAAGTGGTGAAAAAATATTAAAACTATTATTTTTTTGTTGAGATATTTTTCATTTTAAGAAAACTTTGTGATGGGCCCAAGAGAAATAGGTTCAAAGCGAATAAAGTTTCTTCCATTTTTTTATTTACTAATGTCGTAGCTTGTTTGTTAAAGAAAATTTATATGAAATGTTTATTGGCAAATTATTTATTATATATACGGGAATGACAATTAGAAACTTACCTCATCGACCCATGATTTGTATTTGTCCGTTAGAGTGATTTGCTCTAGCATAGCTGATCCTTGGTTGGTTTTCCAATTACCTGTTATCGATTTACGCCTGAGAGTTCAAAATATTTGAAAAAGATTACCGGAGATATTCCTTTCTTTTTTTTTTAATTTATGAAGCAAAAGATCACTATTTATTGTTGTTGTTATTATTATTATAGCAATTGGTTATTGTAATGAGCTCTTAACTAAGTATTTGTTGCGAAAACTTTCTTATGAATAATTGATTTTCGTAATTTTTTTTTTCTCACTCATTTCAAAGTAATTTACGTTTCACGATTTCCTTAATTGTAACAAAAACAGATATGAATTTTATTTATTTATTTTTTTTTCGTTTTTTGAATTTAGCAACTCATGGCAGGCACTTTAAATAAGAGTGATTTTAACTCTTTGCCTTCTTTAGCAGGCGTTGTGCATTATTGCAAAGGTCCGTTATTTCCGGTGCAGGCATATATATTATATTATATGTGTGTATATATCAATATATATATAATATGTAAATACTTACATGAAAGCTTTGTAATTGTTGCCAATCTTTTGAATATGTATATCAAATTTTGCATCTATATACGGTTCAATAGTGCAATAGCAATGTCCTTCACTGCCAGTGCCAGTGACAAGGCCGGCGGCGTCTTGTAATGCGCTTTGATTCTCAAAGCGAGCTGTAGCCATTCCGCCGTGGCAGTGACCTGCCTTTAAAACACACGGGAATTTCGTCCAATTTAACTGAGGAAAACAAGAAAAATAAAGCGTTGAAAAGAAAAATTCATTTAAAATGCATGCAATCGATAGCAATGTTCGTGTCTGCCTGCAAGCGCCAGACATTACATTAAATTTACTTTTTGATGAGTCTTCGTCTTGCAAAAAGATTGCATTAAAAAATCTTATATTAAATTTAACTGTTATCAGTTACATAATAAATCGATGCGTCATTAACACTCTTTATTACGTACGTGACATAGTAATGCGCTGATTGGAATCATTTTCACATAAAACAAATTAATATTTGTGTCATCCAGCCAGCTTCGGATGAGACAGAAATTGCCCACATCCGACCAACTTTATGATAGATAATCGTTCCAAGTCGCATGTTAAGAAATTGTTTATTAACCTCAGATTTTTGGACGATTTGCATACGCCTAGTTTTACTTAAGTCCGTCAATTTGACGGACAAATCTTGTGGATCACCTTTGTAGTCCTGATTTGTTCGGTAGCACGTCCACGATTAACGATTAAATTGATGGGTTAGTGTGCATATATCATTTTGTGCTCATTGGGTTCTTTTTGATTTAATCTGCTACTCATTGATTGTACTGGGTTTGGTTTGGTTTCGGCAGTATAGGACAGATTTACTCGCAATAGTAAAGCTTGCTGGAAACAATTGCTCCCATGCGGGAACACCGTGTAAGTGCACCGCGTAAATCGAATAAACTCGATAAATTTAGCATAAAGTTTTGGTTGTCAGCGCAGCCTGCAGACAAATATCTAACACATGGTAGGGTTTGGTAGATGTCTTTGCCAGTTAAATACGAATTTCTCTTCATACTCTTTAATGACTCTAATGGCGTGGGATGCCGTTTAACAAGCTATTTGGACGCAAATGAGAAATATTCAGTTGAAGTGGTTGGCAAGATCTCGGTAGGTTCAAATTAACAACAACAATAGCAACAACATCGTGCCAATGTGAAAACGCTTGGGTTGAATGTTGTTGGCAACTTCTAAAAGAGAGCTGCCTTGTCCTGCCCCCTCCCCCCCCTCCGTTTGTCTAAAGTCTACTACTGAAATTGCAGAGTGTTTAGTTCCCGAGAGAAATCATAAAGCAAAAATCGCCAAGCTTGGTCAACTTTTTGAAGAACTTCATCGACCAGAGTGCGGCGCATGTTCAGTAGCGTCGAAATTTACCGAAACGTGCATACAATTTGCTTATAGCGGATTTTCATTAAGCATATTCACTGCGCATTTCATGAATTTTTTTGGGGGGAGGGACATTATAAAATATAGCATGTTTTTTTAGAGATGCTTGGCACATCTCCATAACGCAATTGCTTTTTATTAGGTTGAATTCAACAATATCACAACATTTTGTGATTGTCTATCAAGTGTTACCTTTCACACGCTCTTTAATAAGACTTGGTAGAGTTAGTGTCATCGAAATTACACGACCCCTTGTCGAGGAAAAATTCTCGCAAAAAAGTTTTTTTTTCGATGTGTTATGAATTCTATATATATATATATAGCGTATAATATGTAATCTATAATAAATGATGTGATAAGAAAACGTTAACAAAGTTCAAAAACCAAGGAAAGGCACCGACAGACTTCAGCAGCACAGAACTACAGATAAATGTAGTCATCAATTAACGCTTTTTTGATATTTAACTAAGAATTTAATGCGGGACTTTCATAGTGAAACTAAAACACGTGAGGAACGCTTGCTCGGTCTGGAGTTGCATTCCAAATGGAGGTTTGGGCAATAGCAAGGCATAGGTTTTATATAAACGGCAAATGCATCTATCTGGCACGCGTGAGCTAACTACGCACCGGGCGTCATGTGTGTTTTTCGCGCTCAGGGTGCTACGGGATTAAGCCGTCACGTTATTTGCAGATAAATTTCTACAGAAAGGGTTAAAATAGAATTTAACTTCGATCAAAAGTTCCTCCCATGTCCAGTTAAATAAGCTATGGTGGTTGCCATAAGTGAGTGAAGAACGCACACAACGAAATAGCAATCAATTAAACGTCCATAATCGGTATAGCGAACAATTTCAGCTTTAAAGAGATAACGTGTTCTTATATAACACATTTAGGAATCGCTGATATCACCTTATAGATGTGTGCTGTTTGTTTTTATTTTTTTTTATTTATTTATTTATTAATTTTTTTTTTTTTTTTTTTTTTTTTTTTTTGATTGCTTTATTAATAATTTGGCCAAGAGCCAAACGATATGCATGCAATTGCAAAATGGAACACTACCTATATATAGGTAGAGTACAATATTTAAATATTTTTCGCATTAATGCATTGTATTTACCTTTTGCTATTCGCTATACCTGTCTCTTTTCTTCTTGCTAACTTTTGTTTTACAAATTGCGGTTTGTTGCTACGAAATTTCATGGCTTTTAGTATATTTAAGCGTAGTCATAAAGTCGCTGTATTAAGTGTTAGATTAGAATTAGTTTTTCAATCTTTCAATTTAATGAAAACTTTCACTGAATGTTAGTAAATCGTTATAGAAATCATTAAACTTAAGTGGACCTACGTATGTGCGTTACATCGATTAGCCGATGCCTGACGGCTCTTACGATTGTTTTCGTCTCTGCCAAAATCAAAAGTAATTCTAAAGTAACTATGAAAAATTGAAATTCGTTTGCTATGCTACAGTTTTCAAATCCACCACGAAGAGAGTGTATATCCGATAAAGTTCTAATGTCATTATTATTTAAACATTAGCTTGGTCCGAATATCACTTCGTGTTTTTCCCACCCCAACAGCTAATTGCACATTTAAGTCACATTATCATTGCATAGTTTCAGACCTGAAGGAGTAAGACTTGTATGTGAAAAAGTTTGCTTGATTTTTTAGCTTTTATGGAAAGTCAAGAGTAAGGTTTTTGTTATATTTTACTTTCTTTACTATCCAAAAGGTAAAAATTCCGTCCAAGCAAGGAACCAACTATGCGTATGGGGAGGACGCACTTACGGAACTCTATTAGTAGTCAAAAGTGATTTGCTAATTTTCTCATTTTTGTGTAAATCTTTTAAGAAATTTTGTGAGATCTACACTGGGTAGATATAAAAAAGAAATTCGGAGAAATTTTTTTTCTTATCTTATAGATTTAATAAAGTGCTAGGAAAAAGTTTGTTTTATCTAAATAATTGCAGATTACAACGCCATCATTTATTTTATGGCCAATGCAAGCACTTTTTAATGGTTTTTTAAAAAATTTTTTATCCATTCGTTTAGAGTACAAATAAAGGGGTTAACTTTATATTTTATACTTTAAAATTGTTCTTACAAGCATTGAACCAATGTGAATCATTAATAAATTAATAGTAATAATATTTATTGCTTCTAAGAAGTTGTACAAGCAGAATTAATATATAATAATTTTGTACAGATAAGGGCTGAGTAGCAATCGTAAAATGTAAATCTAAATCACGGCCAAAAACACATCATGAAGGAAAGTAACTCCAGTTTGAGCGGAAATCATTTGGTTTTTAATGAAATTAGTCGTAGTCTCGGTGCGATCGAAATCACTTCAACCTTTAGCTTATTCATAGCAATTCGAAAATGATGTAGCACGCTTTGGTATTCGTCGTAATTAATTGAAATTACTCCCAGATCGAATTCAATTTATTAGTTTATTGACCCAAGTCACTTTGCTATCAATCACAAACGTTTCGTTATCTACTAAAATGTTTTAGAAGTAGCATACGGAATGACCTTGCGATCTCCCGTCTAGATTAATTGGCGAAAGATGCTTCGCTTTTTAGCGAAATTATTTGAAATTACTTTATGATTTACAAGACATCAAAGGGGCTTCGGAAAGGATCGCAAATACTTAAAATTAATTCACGAGCAAAAAAGTTTCTCAAACGATCGAAAATCACTTTGCTATTCAAGAAAGGCACTGCCCGATCGATTGACAATTGAAGCAACATTCTTACTGTATATGAAAACTAGACACGGAAAAGCGTAAACTTAGAAAGTTATAGAGCTAGTTGAATGCCCAACTACATCATTGATTTAGGAAATGGTTCTAAACTTCTATGTCCTTCTGATGTCTATCGATGTATTTTTTTGTTTAACTTACAGGTCGTATTTTTTATGACATTTTAATAGAAGTTGGCGCAAATATACGGTGAGGCCGAATAGGTTGACCCTTTCCCGGTCTGGAGAGAGGACCTTTTAGGTCCTTCCAACCTTGATGACAAGCTTTTCAAGCAGAATTCAATCGACAAGGAATGTAGCAGAATGATTAAATAAATCCCAATCAACTATACGACTCCACCCAGAAAAATTAGGGCAGTCAGCAAGTTAAAAACAGCAGAACTTAATTACGACTTCATAGTGAGACATCGTATTTTGTAACAATCTAGCTCCGATTTTTGTAAGCGTTTTTCGTTTTGTATAATTTGCAAGCATGCGTATGCGCTATTACCGGGAAAAATTCTACAAAATATGACGTCACAAAGTAGCTTTGCAATTGCTTTTAATTCCAAGGTCATTTATCCACTTGCGAAAACAATACTCTTTCAATGTTTATGAAACCTTGTGCCTATTACGTGATTAATAGAAATAATTTTTAAGTAGCAAACTTTTACGCTCCCGTCTAACGTAATTGCATTAATTCTTAAAGCAAGAGAAACATAATTTGTTTTTCTAAAGTTTTTCGGCAACGCGTAGCTAGTTTCGGTTTTCTAAAAAGTTGGCTAAAACACAATCGAATGTTGACTTTCAACAATTAGTTTATGTAATTACTTCATACTATAATTGCATTACGATAAGGCAGCCGCAAAGAAGTGAGCATTAGCCGCATACGAATGTTTTTAATGTAATCAATATCGCTTCCGATGTGTTCAAAGTCTGATTTAATGAATATAGCTAACCGCAACTTTGCCTAAACTAACTCATTAAAGAATTCATTAAAATTCAATAAAAAAATTAAAAGAATTGTATTATTGTAAAATAGACAAAACACATCACAAGACACACTTCCAATTAGCACATTTGCCCAACTTTTGAGGTGATTGCATCCCTTCATCTATACACATTACCATATACCAGCACGGCATCTCATCACTATCTTTTTTGTCCCTAGTTCTCTTTCGATATTTGCCTATCCGTCCGTATGTCCACCATATGTCCATCGAACAATATCTTGCTTATGCGTTCAACTGTTTGCTCATTTTTTATTGACTCCTGTCCTGCCTGTCAAACTGACTGTAAGCGGATTTTCCATTTATTCCTTTACTCGTCCGTACTTTTTCGTCCATTCCATTCGTCCACTTTAGTGTGTTCTCCCTCTGCTCATTAGTCTGACACGTTTACGTTATTTCGTTTAAGCTATTCGTACTTTTCTCCATCTGACCATTATTCTCCATCTCCTGTTTTTGATGTCTGGACTGTATATGTGACTTTCTTAAGCATCTGTCTTTTCGCCGTTCTATCTCTGTCTCGATATATTCGTTCCTTTCTTTCTCGTCATTAATCAGTCTTCCGCTTCATCCATCAACTGATTGTACACTCGGCTCGGCTTTTATTTGCGTCTTGCACCATTTTTCCGTACGTGCCTTAGTTGGTCTTCTCCATATTCTTGCATCTGATTGCAGTTATGCTTGTTTTCCATTAATCTATGCGAGTTTCTCTCCATTCATCATTTGTTTCCATGTGCAGTTTTTCATGTCTTCTCGTTCTCAACTGTCCGCATGTGGCGTGGGGTCACCAATTATCATCCCAACAGTTTGTTCACTCCCTTTCCATCATTCAATCACAAAACCACTTTCTAACCGCGCTCTTCCCGCGGATATTTTGCGCGTACTCAGTTTTTTTCCGCTTATCTATCTGCTCTCCTCACCAATTTGTCAATTGTCTTTAAAAGGCTTTTTTCTTCCGTTCCTTGCTTATGAATTCCATCTCTGTTTGCATTTTGTGCGTCCCACCACTTGTTCAGGTGTTCGTCTGTTTCCTCGTCCTGTTTTCTTAAGCGTCTGCATTTATATTTACTTATCCATTCAGCTGTTTTTCATCCACCTACCTCTCCACTCATTCACGCAAAATCTTCATATATATCTGATAAATATTCGTGATTATGCACGAATTTCGAGCTTCAGTTGTCGTCAAAGTTCCTATTCTTTGGCAATAGAGGACTTTTGTTATCATTTAGAATGTTATTTTTAGAAATGTCACCACCCGAAGAGAGAGAGAGAGAGAGAGAGGGAGAGGGAGAAGGAGAATTATATATATATATATATATTCAATGTTTCTATTTTTCAATTCTCTATTTGTTCAACCTTTAGAATATCATCAATAGAAAAAGGGACGGACGGAATGGAAAATAAGAATACATAGATTTTATTATAGTGTAATAATTTTACTTGTACAAACTAATAAATTCTAGTCATTTTAGAGAGCGATCCAAAAAATTACTCTTGCTGGAAATTTCAGTTCGATTTCGACAAACCCCATCGAGAAGATTATATAACTCCTAAAGGAAATTAGATACGCATACGTTATCACTTTAAAGGGAATTGGATACGCACGTTTGCGTGCCAAAGTTGAAAATCCGTTTAAATCTAACTCTTGCAATATACGGTTTTGGTCTCGTAGGAGAGCGCAAAACCTTTTTTGCTTTTGATTTTCTTAGCTGGTAAACGATGATAACTCCTCTTTAATGAGACCTTAAAACTTTCTAACAAGAAATTTTCATAAGCTATCAGAGAAACACTCATCGAGCACTAGATAAGCAAAAAAAGAAAAAGTAAGAAAAATAACTAAACTCTGCTACGCACATATAGAAATTGAAGAGTTTGCTTAGTTTCGCTTTTCACTCTATTTCATTTGAAAATACCATGAATAATTGAGCAAACAGCGTTTTCACACATAGCCATGCTCACCTCACCGTAAACATATTTTCATTTATTTAAGATTTCGGTAGCGTTAGCGTTAGCGTTATATGGTCATAATGATGTTGTTGTTGCCGTCGTTAATGGAGAGAATATTTTAGTCTACTTGCTGTGTGAGACACAGTGTAACGTCTGTTCATTCGAGTGCTTGTTTGTGTGTGGCAGATGTTTTGGTTTTCGAAAACATCGAAACGGTTCATTTTTCAATTTAGTCGTGCATTGCCAGTAAAACGTTCAAGTGTACTTGTTAAAGATATTGAAAGGAAAGCGATATTACTTTACGTATGTAAATCTCAAGTTTTACGTATATGTGTATACGTTTGTGCATTTCTATATAGTACGTAAATTAGTTTGCAACGATCGAAATAAATATATAATAATTCATTTATTTAAACATTTGTTTTTGTTTTTGTTTTTTTCGAAAACATTTGAAAAAGTCAAGTCTTCCTATGCTTTATGCTATTAAGTATTATTCGTCTAATAGTGATCATATATATATATATATATATATATATATATATATATTATAAGTGCATTTAAAAAAAAAAAAGAAGAGAAGAAAAAATAAATAATAAAAAAGAAAAACTGTAAAATATTTTCCATCGCAATTAAGAAAACGGAAGGTTTTTATTATATATCGAATATCAATTGATTTACGTGAGTATGTTATTCGTTTATGCCTGCCAATCAGCACATTGGACTTATGTGGGTGTATATATATGTAAATATAGGCGGAAAACGTTGTACCAGTACTATAAGCACGAAAAGTCTACCCATCTCAAATATTTTCATTTATCAAGCTCTTCTTAAGTGGGTTTAGAAATTAAGATAGAAACCTGATACTGAATAGAAAAGTTTGCCTCTTCTTTTTGAACCGTTTCTCAAGCTGTTCTCAAGGTGTAAACTTTTAGGAATATTTTAATGTGAATACGTAACTATTGCACTTGTTTTCATTGATTTATGCAATTATATTTACTTATCTGATTACAATTATTTTTTTTTGTTTTTATTCTCTATGGTATGCATACATAATTTTATAGGCGCACATCATATGAACGCAAACAGAATGACAGGCCGATCCGTTTGAATAGCCTCACCTCAGTTAAAGTTTAGTTACTCCCGACTATTGTCGGGATTAGCCAAAAAGGTATCATTACGTTATGTGAGTTATTTTTCCAACCAGGACGTGGGGTATAATCAAAGAATTTTCACACGAAGCATATACATTCTTGATTGGCATTAAATTCTGATTCGATTTAAGCATGTTCGAAGGTCCATCCGTCCGTCTGTGTAATGCCTGTTACAAGCAAAATGAAGCTTTCGACTTCGAATTTCGCGGAAACGTTGCAAGTGCTTACACGAAAGTTGCAAAACGGTCCAAATCGATCGAAGGACACGCCTATAGTAACATGTAAACTGAGAAGGCATGAGCAAATTCTTGGCCAGTTACAAATTCGGAATGCGTCTGAGCATGTCCGACTGTTCGTCTGGCCATCTATCCGCTGGTTAGTCCAGCCATTTGACCATCCACCGAACCGTGTACGTGTATGTGGTACACATTCTCCCGTTCGTAAAAAAGAAGACATAGTCTACAAGACTGAATGAGTTTGAAAATGCGATACAACGCCCACTTGTCTATACAAAGTAATGTCTGTTCATCGTTGCTTATAAAGTTCAACAGAAACACGATTTAAATTTCCACAAAAATTGTTCTTTAAGAATATCAAATATCAGTCACGCCCACCTGATTTTATAGAGTACACGAATAAATATTTTTCCTTTTCTTCAATCCTTTATAGGACAACGACGATGGTATTCTTACTTGTTCAATGACTTCCCCCAGGTTTCGACGTAAATTCGATTAATTGTTTCTTAATCTAGCATTCAGTCTAAATATTTCTAAGGAAATGTTATAATTTAGAATGAAGCGACAAACTGTCCACGGAATAAGGTGAACGAAGCGCGCATGGACAAATCACTCGAGTGCTTATTATTTATAAACAAAAGTTTTTTTGATCCAACGTCTCGAAACGTTTCGAATCTTTCGCACTAAAACCGCTTTCTTTTTTTATTATTGTTGTCTACACAAAACCAGCTCGACGTTCTACCTTAACTCTTGTAAATTTTAGTCATATGGATACCTCTAAGCATGTAAGGGTAAATAAGTTTCAAATCTCATTCTGACAAACCGTACATGTATATACATACAAGGCACTTTTCTGAAACTCATTCCATCTTTTCAAGATTTTAAGTTTTTTTTTTTATTTGATTAAGTGTAACGAACATGTTCTGCATTTGTTTTTTTTGGGAAGAATTAAAAGAAAAAAAAAAACTTTTTCATCATTAAGTGCAGCTACGTATGTGTCATTGAGTGTACTATATATTGACACGGCGTAAAGGTGTTCGCTTGACACAAGCAGAGTGAAGTCTCGTTTGAGTAAACAATTTCTGAAAATGTTTTAAAACAATAAAATTTCACATATCTCTCCGACGAGGAAAAGCAAACGATGCAGGAAATACATTTTGGCTTTGATTTATTAAAAAGAAGCTGGTCTTGCATCGTCGCAGAGATCTTGCAAACCCACCTTTCCTGTTTCTTTCCAAAACTTTTATTTAATAAGCACTAGAAAAGTGTCGCAATTCCACACAGATGGATTACGAGTGTTATTAAGCTCTAACTGTAGCAAAATGTACTGAGAGGAGAGCCTGTTTTTTTTCTGCTAAGAAAATTTCGATACTTTAAATGTTCGCTTGAGTGAGGTTTGACTGTAGTCGCTGTAAGATATTTAGTGAATACGTACGAGTTACGGTTTACGTATATGCATATGAAAACCATATTACCTATGCATAAATGTGTACGACATATGTTATTACATATGTATGAATTTACGGGTGTATAGGTAAACGTAAAAATATCATTATTGCCTTATTTGATTTCGGAGAAAATAAACACGAAGTGGTTGCAACGCGTGAATGAGTAACCGATTGGCCTAGTAGCACTAAAATTTTTCACCGCGTCTGCTGAAGAATTTTAAGGAAAATTAAAAATAAAAGCAAAACGCTAGTCTATGTTTGTATTCAAAAAAAAAAAAAAAAAAAAAAAAAATGAATAAATAAATAAGAAGATGTATATACGTTATGTTATCTTAAATGGTTTTTGCGTGTTCGAGTTACTTTGATTTGGTTTAGCAATGAAATATGCACAACCTCAACCTTAAACTATCTATTCTCACGTGATTACTGCCATTAACCAACAAGGTTGTCTAGGAGGAAATATTTCACTTGCAAAGAATAATAATTTGCTGGAGTGTATGAGTAAACGTTTGCATGGGCAAAAAGAGGGCGTAGTGTGCGAATAGTCAAAGTCAAAGAGTACGCGAAACTTATGTGCCTTAATACATTCTGCCTATAATAAATTTCCAATCAATTGGATTTTTCTGCTCTTAGCAGTCTTTTCAACATTGACTTTTGTTTTCAATTTCATTAATACGCTGCAAGCAGAAATGCTTACATTAACTCAAGGTGTTCAAGGTGTAGTGATCACGAACATATATGCACTTCAGTGCATTTCGGTAAACTATTATGTTCACTTGTGAGAGATAAAATAAGAAGTTTTCTTCCCATTGCAATCAAAGATGATAAGAATATGCTTAAAGGCAAATATATGCATGCATATGTATGTCTGTATGTATATATGTATGTAAAGATGTGCAGTCTTCTTGCGATTGCTATTAGTTTTTCGATTGTGATCTCGTTACAATTGCTATGATGCATGCTATGCCAGTAGAATAATTGGAAATATTTTTAAAATTATTTAGTGTTTAATTATAACGAATGCATATTTAAATACATGTGTTGTTGTCATTTAATATGAAAAACGATGATAAAATTCAATGTGCTCTATGACGTCATACATTCCTATGACTATACATATCTATCTATAGATGTATATGTCTGCACATAGGAACGTGATTGCGTAATCGTAACATAAATCTTAAGATTTTTTTTTCTTTGGAGCAAATTGTTGTTGTGGCATCGTTAAGTTAAAATTTTTACTCAAACCCACTCTATACGATTAAAGGGAGCAAAGAATATCAAATCCTTTGTATCGCAGATAAATTTCACGTAACATTACTAACACAAACATATGTATCATTACATATTCGCGTAATTTAAACTTGGCTATAATGTAAGTTAAGGCCATTTGTAACGTGTTGCACCGAAATCGTGCTCTATGTCTGTATATCAGATTGTTTTACGGGCTCGGAAAGCAGCGTTATCCGATAACTTGGTTCAATTCGTTTAGTTTTTACTGTACCGTTTAATAGTTACTTTCTTGACTTACATACGACCGGCGCACGGTCAGCGAACTCTGTACAAAAAGTCTGCTAATATTTAAAAGCGTAATCGAATTTTTAGAAACTCAATGTTTCGAAAATAAACCGTACAGACATAAGAAAACAAGTGATATAGTATCGATCTAGAATTTAATGATTATTTACTAATTATTTAGTGCATTTTATTTAATAATTAACAATAATAATTTATATTTATAATTTTAATTTTTTGTATTTATTTGTTTCTCGTCGTCTCGATAACTATATTATAATTCTTAGCTGCCGCAGGAACGTATTAGACGTAAAACTTTGGATCAAATTGTTGTTTTGATGATAACAACAACATTGTATTACATTGGATTGCGTAGATGTTTAGGGCTAGGTTTTAACAACGTGTGTATGTAAATTGATAACAATCTTTTTCGAACTTGAAAACTTGCAATACAAACAATAGGGCGAATAGAGAGAAAGGAAGACAAAAAACAGCTGATAATGCAATATTTACATAACGTAATACCAGCATATACATACAATTGCTGTTTATGCACAAATTGTGGTTTTATTAAAAAGTCAAGCCGGCAATAAATACGCGGCTAAACTAAGTATAAACAAATGAAGAAAACGATAGAGATCTCTTAGGACATATCGTCGTTGAGCATTATTTCAAGCATAAAGCATTTATGTGAAACGCGTAAAGATTTTTATTACTTTTTTCCGCTTCATGAGACTTGCAATTGAAATCTTAAGAAAAAATGAAAAATCGCAGAAAAAAAGTTGCTACTTGTAGAAGAGAGAACATATTATTGAGAACTGATTGATAATTTAACTAACGATTATGTTTCTGGACCACCGAGCGTATTCACATTAGCACAGTGGCTAGAACATCATAAAAGGGTATATATATGTATGAAAATATATCTATTTTAAATGACACGTACATGTACAAAGGCGCTTAGTTTTTTTAAGTTGGTTTCTAGGTTGAACTAAAGGATACATTGGACTGGCCTTAGAGAAACGCGTTACTCTTGATCGGCGCAACTAATAAAATCGATTTAGCCGGTTTCATATGTCCGTGGCAAGCCTTATCCAGCTAGTAAAGCCGAGCCTTCTTTCGTCTATTGAGGCCTAAAATACGTAAACAGCAGTTATGTATATCGTGTGTTCCACATAATATTGATCCTGGTATAATAATGATCTTTGATACTATCATAACAAGGGTCACATCAAACTAAATAACTTATTAGCTTTGTTCATTTAGTTATCTATTAACGACTAAGCATTTTCTGCTTTACGCAAACACTTTAGACTCTCGGGAGCGTAACTGAGTTTTTAATAAGGACGGTATGATTTTCTTCTCGGCATTTGCTAGCCCCCTCCGTTCATATCGAAGCTTTTCGAGCACTTCTTTAAGAAAACCATTTCTCAGATGAGGCTGATTTTCAGTACACAAATTATTTGCAGAATATCTTTAGATTACGTACAAATAACAATCTCGTTCGACCAGTACGCTGGCGGACTAGTAACCATGAATGGCGAGCGCTAAAGACCGACTTTGATAAAATTTTTATTATCTAAACGGAGAGATGCTGACAGAGACAACATCTTGTGGCCGCAAAACCGGGGTTACATGTCAAACAGCACGTAGGACCATTGATTTTTTAGGTAAAATGTTCGGTCATGCAATAATTTCAAGAAGTTACGGGATCGAATGGCTTTTGAGGAGAGCATCTTCAGACTGCTTCTTATACGATTATTTTAAATTGTTGGTTTACAGCAAGAAATCTGATTTTATTCACTAATTAAAAATAAATATTTTAGTTATTATTTACAAGGTTAGGCCAGATTTAGTAAATAGATTGTGCGAGAATTGAGTTCATCGGACATGTTCCTATATAAGGGAGCCGTTGATGTTGTATTAATGTACGCTTTACTATGAATATATATATATATTACGAGATAGTGAAAATTTGATATAAATCCAAACTTTTTATATCCACGATTTTCTTTCATTTTTAATCGTTATGTTAGTAGCTATTCAGGGAGCTTTTCACAGGTCTCGTGAACAATTCTTTGAAATATTTTATACTAGGAGTTGCCAACTTTCCAAATAAACTTTCTTTCACAGTGGCTGCAAATTGAGAACTATTCAGACGTAGCTGTGCCTAGTGCGAATAACTTACATACATACGACTTAGTTAGTTACGCATCGGAATAATTTTAGATGCGCTGAAAAAAATCTACTTATTTCAATATTTTCAAGTTAATGGCTGTCAATTTTCAACGCTACCTGCAACGAAACACAGTTAGCAGACAGTTGTAAAATGTTCCTCCAATTTATTATTAATTTACTTTTTAAGACTTTATTTCACGTTATGGCTTTAATTAACAGTTCTTAAAATTCATTTCATTTTGTAGAAACAGTTGATTAAGTAAACATGCAAACGAGAAGGAGTTGTTTAAGCATTTTTGCTTTTATTTTGTTTGCGGTTATAACGTTCGATTGTAAATCTGCGACGGCCTGCAGTTGTATGCCGAGTCATCCGCAGACGCTTTATTGTGACGCTGATTATGGTAAGGATATAAGTATTTAGATTGCGCTGTATTAGTAATGCATGACCTTGACGAAAAAAAAAAAAAAAAATGACGCCTAACATTGCTGCTGAAAAATGGGAATGACTCATCTTAATGCCATGAGAAATTTTCCTTTTAATTTCGTTTAGCTGTCGTCGTACGGATATTGCGCAAGTCTCATCGATCGTTCGACAATCATATACTCTATAAAATTCAATTAAAAAAATCCTATAAGGTATATAAATACATAAGGACACACACTCATATACGAATTTAGTCATAGATATGTTGCACACATTTCTTTTGCAGACAACACCTGAAGGTGATATGATATTGAAGCATCATCGTTTGCTTACACCCTCGCAGGATGCAACATGCGGCGTACAACTAACTATTGGCAAACTTTACGTTATTGCTGGTCGAGGACGAAATCTTAATTCGTGCAGCTACATTCAGGAATACCAAAAGATGACTGTGATTGAACGTATGGGCTTCGCCAAATTATATAGAAAAGGATGCGGCAAATGCAAAGTAAGGCAAAGAAATTTTATTGTTTTTTACAATTCATGGTAAATGAATGCGTGCTTCCTTCAGATAAAACCCTGCTTCCACAGTTCTTGTTCTCGAAATGACATAGATAATACTGTATGTCAATGGTCGCCTTTTGACGCATGTCAAGGAAAGTTAAGTGCTTGTTTACAGTATACCTCACATAAGAATCTAGCAGAAAAAGATCACTACTCTAAATGCTATTGGAGAAAATCGCCGGTTTATAACAATTGCAGAGGGGAACCTTAAATTTAATATATTTTGTAATGCATAAGGAATTTGATGCCATAGTTTAATAATTTCTTAACATAAAAATTTGATCTTCATATTAGAGAAAAGAAAAAGGCAAAATGGGCTTAACATAAAAATAAAATAATGTAAAACATTGAGCACTGAGACAAGGTCGACTATTAATTATGAGATCTCTTAGATGAAAGGGTGTCCTATAGGGAAGGGAAGCCTAAGCCTAGGGAAATTATATTTTATTGCCATATAAAGACTTATGGTTTTCGGAGAAACTTGATTGGAAAGACGGACGACATATAATCCAGTTCAAGTCAAACTTTTCAAATTCATCTAACAAGTCAAAATGTTACTTTGCACCGAGTTTTTTTTTTTTTTTTTTGAGAAGTATTAAGAATAGCAAATTTTTTCGATATGACAATGGGTTTCAAAATAGGAACGCAAACGGGACGTTGTCGTAAGAAGCATCCCTCACAATTTATTTGCATAAGGTTTTTACATAGGCTAAAATATGATTTCATCTAAATGTCTTTGAAACTTGGAAACCGGCTGTACACGGACAGAGACCAAGAGGATTGTTGGACGGAACAAGTTTAGAACTATAGGGTAAAATAAATCTTTAAATTCTTAAGATTTAATAAGCCCATTTTGCCTTCCTTACTCTTTCTGGCGTTTGTCATTGTAAACTATTTTGCCTAAGGTAAGTAAATGTAGTGTATTCGCTTCACAAAGTTTACAGTTACTTTGAAACGTTTCAACTGTAATGGTCCAATAATGGTCCAAAACTAATTTAAATGTTGTAGAACTTACCAAATATTTAGGACTTGGAAAGAATGTTTGCTCAATTAATGGAAAGACATCTTTACCCAATCGACGTTGTAGCTGCTGCAAGTGGGCAAACACCCATGGCTTATCCTAATATGTAATACAATTAATGGAAATATATTAACGCTTTTCTGCAAAAAAATATACCTGGAATTGATAGACGGAATTCAAAGAATTGATACTGGGGACTCCACCATATTTTAAGCCTAAGATTGTCGAGCGATAATCGTTGGCTCCATCACGAGGAGGTTGACGTATAAGAACAAAATCGGGCCGAAACATGCGCGGAATCTGAAAATGAAATACATAATGATGACGATGATGATGATGATGATGATGATGAAAACGACGATAGTGAAAATGATTTACTTTCACGCGAGAGAGAGTATTTAAATAAACTTGAACCCCTATGGGTTCTTACGTAGACTCCTTCGATGCCACTGCTAAGAAGACAGTAATGCTCATAATGGTATGGGGCCTTAGACAAATTTTCCCTATAAGTATTTAAAACTTTTCTTAGCTGAAAGCAGGGAGAATCATGATCCGAGAAAGTCCTTTGCCTGTGGCTGTGCATCAAAGTGAAACACTCAAGACGAGTAATAAAACGACTTCTATTTCTCCTTCGTTTTCTTTAAATATTTGCATAGTTTATTAGTTAAACGTAACGCCTACGGCGGTAAATTTCGAGTTCACCCCCGATTCTTACATCCTTTTTTTTTACTATGGAAAGAAAATATATGACTCAAGATACAACTCTTATGTGAGCTCCCAACATACACGGACTTTGCCCAATGTGCTTCTATTATATTAGCAGAGAAGCTGAATGAAGAATTTACCTAACATATGGAGATCTAGCTTCGGAATGCCAATTAAGAAAAACAGAAAGCTCAAATATTACATACTCTGGAATCGCCTCTATGAACTTCCATAGTGATAACAGGGCCCGAATCCGCACTAGCATGCAATGTGACATCCTTTCATTGGCCAAGTTAATAGGCAGCATGTAAATAAAACGAGGGATACATTATTTTGGTTGCTTAGGCGGGCAGTTACTCGATCTATAAACAATGATATGCAGCGAAACGCGCACTTACCCGGAATTCGGCCTGTTCGACGCGTATATCATAGTCACCATGTAAGCGTTTGCCACGAAAGTATTTAGACCAATCGGTATTGTGGTCATCCAATACTAGCAGCGTAATATATTTATCCTTGTTAAAGGCAGGTGCACGCGTAGCGCTTTGTACAGCGGCGCCTTAAGAGCAGAGACAGAGAGAACGATTTTTACAGTTTCGCATACTGACCTACCGCAAATACAGTCCACAACGTTTTTTTCCCTTTTCAATGTATTTCCATAAACATAAACAGCAAACCGTCGATAGTGTTTTTCAAGCGTGTTTTAGAAACCAATCAATCGTAGTCTTAAAACCTAACATTTCGCCTTACACCAAAATAGACCGTGAGAACGTACAAATCAAGTCTTTTTAGAAGTATTGAAGCATCAAATGTTCTGTAATCCTTTTTGAAAGTTTTCTCTGAGTACCGTGAAAACTGAAGAAGTTGCAAGGAGAAGGGACGTTTTCTATCATATATTCTCGGTGAAAACTATGAAAACTTTGTCACAGTATTCCAGAAAGTCCAATTGAGCCGGTGAGTTTGAAACGTGCATTAAGAAATTTTTTGTTTTCTAGTAGGATTTGCAAAATAGGAATTATGGTTGTCGACCTATATTTCATGGATAAATTCTGATTGTTCAAAGAAATTTTTAGATTCAAGCAACGCAGTCATAACACAAGGCCTTTTTTCTTGCAGGCAGGCAGTAGATTCACATCTACTTCGTACCCTTGTCCGCGAATTTATTTGCAACCGTAGTCACTGCAAAACGCCGCCACAAACTGCTCCAAATGTCAGCGTGGCAGATAGAGCATCACACGCTACTCAAGTTCAATAATATCACAACGCCTCTGGGCAGACCTATCTTTTAGTGCAATGCTATACGTGGTCTTCTCGTGAGGGCATTCCATTTATAGTAAGGATCGATAGTTATATCTATATTCAAAGGAAAAAATTTATAAACTGCCGCAAACTTTACTTGCATTGTGTTTAGAACGCTGAACGATCAAACCCCGTTGTCAAGATTTTATCTAAATCTAAAACCTAAAGCATGGTTCTCCGAGTTGTACGAACGAGAAAAAGAACCGGTTCTATTGAGCAGCATAGATATCAATAAAAAATTATTTCTTGATCTTACACTGAAGCAGTGTAAGACTTTGTTGTGAACTGTATTTGTGGTTGTATTTAAAACAAATATATATCACTGGCAGGTTTTATTACGAGTTTCATGGAATCGCGAGTGGCCATGCATGTTAGTAGTATTTTATGCTTGTAAGTATACCTAAAATTGAGGCGCCTTGGTCGCGTGCTGCACCAGTTAAACTTTGTACGCGTTGTAAGAGACTTTCACGAGACTTGGCTGGACTTGTTGGTGCGCTGACACCGCGTGGTGGTGCAGCAGAAGTCGCCGTTGTGCTTGCAACTGCTTTACCACCGCCACTCAGGTTCAATGAGAAATCCTGTGTCGTCGATTGAGTCGTATTGGGAGCTGGTGGTGGAGGCACATTGGGTGGCCCACCACTACTCGCCACGCTAGCTGGTTTTGTTGGTTGGTCCTGTATGGGTCGAGCCGCTGGTGGCAATGTGTTGGGATCCACATCATCTGCTTCGGAAGACAAATCTCCCGAGCTGAATCTGGTTTTCGATTGTTTCAAATTAAGGGTTTTTTACATGCATGTGTCAGAGGTTCAATTTAGGCGTTGTTGGCCAATTCGTGATTACGTTTCATTTGTTCATTTTTTTTTTTTTTTAGATTGTGTGCGTTTTGCATAATGTGGACGAAACACATTATTTTTTAGGACGAAAATAAACAAAAAGAGAAAGAGAGAAAGAGAGAGGAAGAGAGAGAGAGAGAGAGAGGGAGAGACAAACAGAGAAAGGAGAAAGGACAAAAAAGCCGAAAACGAACGAGAAAAAGAAAAAGAAGAACAAGAAGAAGAACAACAACGACAAAGTAGAGGAAAAACATATGAAATTTATTTAGTTTGACTTTGAACGATTGCTCTTCGCAACGGATTCTATTTTTTTATTCTTTTTTTTTTTTAAGTTTTTACCTTCTCTTCAGGAAATTAACATTGGAAGTAAAGCTACTTTTGAACGATGAGAAATTCAGGGTGCCGGCTTTGGTTTCCTTCTGCAGCGTCCAGAAGGAAGCGTTTTTATGAACGGATATTTTTTTTTTTATTTTTTATTTTTTTTCCGTTTAAATGAATACAAGAATTCACCGGATTAAAGGATGAGAGAAAAAGGGAGAAAGTCGCATAGACAAAGTTTTAGTTAGTCATTGAAAAGCTTTCTTTACTTGTCCTTATTATTATTGCGATTCTTCTTATTATTATTATTTTGATTTTATTTTTGTTTTTTTTTTTTCTATTTATTGACTTGACTCTGTGTAGGTGCAAATAATATTTATTATCGTTTATCTATAACTATAAATACGTGCACACATACGCCTACAATAAAGTGAAGTTAGTGCAGATCTGCAACTGGTTTTCACATAAAACAAAGAAATTTTATAAAAAGCAAATTATAAGCATAATTGTTAAAATAAAACAAATTGCAAAAAAATTAATATTTTTTAATTTTTTTTTTAAACTTTTTCAAATTCTTATTTAACTGATATTTAGTTACTGTCCGGCATTAAACAAAATCATTTGCTTGAAGGAACTTCAAATGAGAATTTTCACTCAGAAAGATGGTAAAAATCATAAAAAATCCTTTTGCACACAGCTTGGAATTTCTTTCCAAGCCTACAGAAATCCACATCTAAGAACATATAAACGTATATCTGCATATAAAGGGAATTTCTTATGTGCGTTAACATTGAAAAGCGTTTAAATTTCATATACTCTTCGTTCTACTCATTTCATTAGTTAATATCACTTTTAATTATCATTATCGTTATTATTATTATTATTATTATTATTATTATTACTATCATTATAATTATGTATTAAATATGTTTTTTCAAGTAATTAAAGTCAAGACCAACATGTATTAGGAATGTTTCATTAAAATGAGATACAGAAAGAAAGTGAGATGGAAGATGAAAGAAAAATGGCGCAAGAGAGTGAGAGAATTATGGGTATGAAAATGAAATGCGTTCTGTAAAAGCCTTTTATGAATTAATGAACAGTAATGATCATATGTCAACATGTATGGCTTTATTGCAATGAAAAATAAGACTTTAATGTACTTTCCTTAATAATCTCGTGACAGACAAAGTGAAAGAAAGATTACGATTACGTCAAATATATTTAATTACATTGATGCGAGAGCAATGCATAAGAAAGTCCTAGTCGGTGATTTACTTTCACATCTCGAATTGTCGTTAAACTTAAGAGAAATTAATTAGATGGTTTTCCAAGCAGTGCCTTTAAGTGTAGGTGAATTAGTTAAGTGATTGATGCATGCGTTGTGAGTATAAAAAAAAGGTAACTTTATTCCTTGCTGCCTTGAGTGCCAGCTTTTTAGGATGTTTAGTGTATGCCGTCAATGATAAATCAAAAATTCCTTTGCCTTCTAGATGTCGTGAAACATTGCCTCGGGTTTACATAAAATATGTTCGTTCATACAACGTTTATGTATGTAATTTTTCACTTCTTTTTTTTTTTTTTCGTTTGGCCAACCACTCAAGGAATGTCGATGTGTATACCGTACGTGTTGATATTGTAGTACCTAGGAAGCAGAGGAAGGTAGTTGTATTTTTGTGCTTTCGTTTTGCAAGTTTAAAACTGTGTGCGACGGTATGGGAAGAACCATTTGCCGGCAAAATGTAGGGCGTGTGCTCTCCGCTTTAATTACCTTAGCTGCATTACACTTTAAGAAAACGGATTTCAGCCTTTAAAGTGCGATTCCTTTTGGCGGTGCTCGCTATTCTTTGGACCGGCATTTATAAACAACATTTACTATACGATAAAATTTTGTCTATATTCTCATGTATGCTATAGGCAAACAAAGCGCGATAGGATAGAAAATGTTGGAAATGTCTACGCTTAAAAATCGTCCTTGAGAAGAAGGTAGTGATAGTGGTAAGTCCCCTAAAATCTTATTTGGCATGTAGGCGTGATACAGGTTGTAAAAAAAGCGGGGGAAGCAGCGGAAAAATCACTCTACTGGGTACCATAAAAGTAGAAAATTTTTGCTTTTAGGTATAGATCGCACATAATTTGCTAATAATTAGATTGTTGCTGCTTCAGTTGCTTTAAGTCACTTGCAAGTTTTCGTAGCTATAAACTGCGGTATGTTTCGTTAAGGATTAAATATATTATTCACTTAACTTTTGAACACATACAGTGAAATAGTAAGAAATAATATATATCTTGCGTTCAGCTAAAGCGAGATCACATCAAGCGAAATTTGTTAATGGGATTAAGTTGAAACTTTCGAATTTTTTCAAAGATGGTCCCACTGTCTATCAAAACTTTAAAGGCAATTAAGATTGAACTAAGAGGAAGACTTGTTTGCAATTACATCTATAGAAGTTAACTGCGAGGCCATGAAGCAAGTATCAGGAGAAGAAGTGAACAGACTCGATATCGACTATAATTTACCTAAATGCCGTTAATGTATGATATGAAGCGCTTAGGCTAATGTCCTACCTGACAAACTACCAGCTGGCTAACCATGTTATGTTATCGACTAAATTGTGTTAGGGGGCTTAAATAAAGCTAACGTGGAGATTGAACAGGGATCGGCTGACGATCCTGTGCAATTGTTATCTTATGGTCGGACAGAAGGACTTCTTCGATTATCAATAGACTTGGAAAAGAATTTTTATTAAGGGCTTTGTAGTGTCACTAAGCCAAAATTTTTTGAATTTAAAAAAAAGCCTGAATATAATTATATAACGAAAGTGATTGTCCATCCCTTTCTCTTCCATATCGTTTACATAGATATCAAATCAAATCATACAAGCACAGATGTTCTGAAGCCTTGCTCTTATATATCACTGAAACTGTTTAAAATTTTCTTTTCCTATTTTTTGTAGAATAAAACAAAGAAACGTAACATTTAATGGGTTGATTATTGAGTGAGTAGAGCACTTGTAACAAAAAGTTTTGCATCAGAGCGAAAAATTCGAGGGAAGCATATTTTCAAGTTGCTCTTGCCGAGAGCCCAACACAATAGTTAAAGGCAAACGCAAGTGGGCGGCTTTTAAGTGCTTTTACGAGAGCCGATAACTATAAACAAATATATATTTAAGCATTTATCTGCGTTTGTGTGTATGTGTGTGTAAGCATAAATGTTTGTATGTTTGCAAATAAAATGAGTAGTCAAGGTGAGGACTTGGCTACGATTTGTGAGAATAGCAAAGAGTTCAGGATTTAATGCTCTTTTAATGAAAGCTTTGTGCATTGTACATTGTCTGCGTTAATGAATTCTCTTATCGAAGCTTTTCATAATATCATAAATAAATTATTATGCTGCTTAACCTTTGCTTACATATATCAAGTTTGTGTTTAATGGCAATTGTTTTGCATGCGAGAAATGGAAAAAAAAAAAAAAATATGAGGAAAATACTAATAATAATAAAAAAATAAAAATAAGAAAATCTATAGTAATTAGTAAAGTAAGCACTTAAGTATTTGCTTGATAGTGCTGCTGCTGGCATTCATGTGTTGATTCTAATTATCCAATAAAATGATGATAATGATGGTGACGATGATGACGATGATGTTAGCTTACCGGTGGCGGGGCGCAAATTCGCCCACACCCAGCAGTTGCTATTGCAGTAATATTGACTGTGACAAGCGAGCTCACTAACGTCTCCCCAGCGGCGCGTATTTCTATGCCCAACTGTTCTTTAAATTGTTCTCACCTTTTTTTTGTCTAGGATTCACGGAATTTATACCACCTGTGTGTTCATACAAAATTTAAGAAGAAGTAGTAACCACTTAAGTTCAGGTAACTATTTACTGGAAAAATAATAGTCGCCGATGCTAGTGCGCACTTTAACTGATGATGCTTTGTTAAGCTTTGTTTGTGCCAATCGCAAAATTTTCTTCCAATATTTAAAAATCGGAAATATTCCTTGAGCTTATGAATTTTCTGAAATTATAATAAAAAAATTGCAAACAAATGTTTTTGATAATAACTTTTAAACAATATGAATGTCAAGTTGACGCACTGACCACAGTCTGCAGTCAGTCACAAATAGTGGAAACAACAATTAGCTGGAAAATAATCGAATTCGAACATTTATGCCCCATAAAAAAAACGCACTAGTCTGCATACTTCAGGTGTGAGAGAAACTGGAAGAACAAAGGTTTCAGTCGCCACTGCGAGAAGGTAAATCGTCTTAACTAAGTAAGTCTCGAAGACTGCATGAACTGTTTGGGATCTTGGTGGACATATCCATTCCTATATTGGTGTACTGCAATTAAAATAACTTAATAAACGTAGGAGATGTTCCGCCACTATTGGTAATCAAGCAGAAAACTCGTCCAAGCCCGAGGAGATGAATCCTAATTTCGACTTTTATCTAATCGATTTTTATACTCTATACCTTACTTATAGTCATATAAATGGATTGAAAGTCATTCTCTGAATTCAAGTGGCCAAGGCAGTCTGCCTGTATTTTCATGTATTCTTGTCTCCAACATAGAGGCTACAATTTTTGAGAAATTTTAATGAAGTTTGGTACAATGGTCTGATCCAAATAAGATCCAAATATAGATAACAACTAGAATAGCTTTTTTAGTGTATTAGCTCGCATTGCCAACATCATATCGTAGTTACAAGAAACCGGCGAATGAGTGAGGAGTAATTAGTAGACTCATTTCGAATCCAACAGGATGCGTAAGTAAAGAAACGAACGGGAACATGTGAAATTAAACAAGTCGTTCGTATTCTCTCCTTCCGAGGCTTGTTCGTTCTGTGACTCACTGCGAAACCCTTCTTCCTATGTCCTTTCTTACAATCATTCCACTGACTTTTCCTGATAGAGAGAGAAAAGCTGAATTATCTCAAGGTGAATAAAAAATCAAAATTCACTTGAAAGGGTTACTGTTGTCTAAGAACTACGATTTTTTACTTAATGAACAAACGATGAGTTTAATATTGTCTAAGCTTTTTAACAAATGTCTTATTCAGTTTCCGACCCTCTTTCATAAATGTGATTGTTTGTTCTCATTTTTTTTTTTTTTTTAATGTTTGTTTATTTAGCACTTTTGTAAGCATAAGTGCAACCACGCGGCTCAATTGTGTTTCTTTTAATATGTTTTCTCTTTAAAACTCTTCTTTTTTCTTTATACACATGCATTTTTATTTTTCTCGTAATTACTCTGAGTAAAGTATTGAATTAAACCGCACGTGATTGTGTTGAAAGTTCAAAGCGAGACAATATGTAATAAGTCCTTCGGCATGCACATTGCACTGCATCTTCCGTTACGTTGTCCCACATTTTGTTTTTTTACTTCGGCGTGTATCGAAATATGGGTCAACCCGTGTAAGTCATTCATTTCATAAGCATGACGAGGAAAGTATATATTAAAGATGTATGTAATTGAATACATGTACATAATTTCCATTATCAACTAGAAAGGCTTATTGGATTAAAGAATCATACCAACACAGTAGTGGCCATGTACTAGCAGCGCCTTCTTGTCAAATTAAATAAGAAGAAAGTACAGGTCGATAAAGCCGGAATCGAACAGGAGACTCGGCAAACTGTTTATCATACTTACAACGATGGCTTCAAACTAGCGTGCGTTGTCACTACTGCTAGTGGCACCATTCCGGAGACCGGCTGAGGACTGAAGAATCTTGTGCAAATCATATATGTCTTACGGACGGAGTGTTTGTTGCGGACCATGCCATTCGATCCCATTAAAAAAAAGTAAATGAACAATGTAAGGACTTTACATGATTTTAGACCTGTGTGGAATGAATAGCATAAGTAATCGCATGGTATCAGTTGGACCACAAATGAGAGCTTGCATTCGACTAGGAGGTGATTGAAGACTTACATCATCCGATAGTCCCCATTAACCCATTGGGGCATAGTTAGAGCATCGACTTAGAAAGAGATTTGCACTTGATCTACCCAACAAATAATGTGAACTTGCATTCGAGTAAGAAACAGGCGAAGATCCATTGACGCAGGCTGGTTTGAGTTTGCATTATAATCGACTACATTACCTGATGGTGATTGCTATTAGAAGGGCAAGTAGCACCGGCGATTGCATTTGCTTAAACAAAATATGATTTGCATGGCCAGCAAAGGCACTTAATAAGAACTTGGATAATTGTACCTTTTTCTCCCCCGTGAAGAAAATTTTTGTTAATATCGCAAGATAAATTAAGTTTTTCATGTATGAAAAACGTGGCAATGAGCCACAATGTAAATTGTAAATACAAAATGCACTCAAAATATCTGTTTACACAATGTTTTTTTTCCTTTTCGTAATCTACGTGCGAAAGAAAAACAGAAAAAGCTTTCGAAATTTCTTTTGAAATTATTCAAGTTCTTAATTGTTTTTTTAAATGTCTTTTGAGCGTATTGTAATCATTTTCTAAATTCATCAAATATATCGCAATTTCAATGGTTTTTATAAGTTTTGCAATTTGAAGAATTTGAGTCATCATTGAGAATATAAAATTGTTTTCGAGAAGTATTTTTATTTTTATTCCATAAAACGAAAACAAATTTTATGGACTTTCCATCATTTTGCTTTCTAAAGGAAATGCTTGGACATCTAACTACCATAGTCGATGACGTACGTAAACGTAGGGATGTGGGAGGAGAGAAAGAGAGAGAGAGAGAGAGAGAGTGAGAGAAAGAATATGTGCTTGGGGTAGTTCTAAGTTTATATGTGCGGTATGCATAATAAAACTATAAAGAGGAAAAATTAAATGAGCTCCACATATAAAAACGTATTCTCCAATAGAAACGTAGAAAGCAGAAAAAAGAAAAGACAATAAATAAAAAAATAAAAAAAAACAACTTATTTATAGAACGTCATTATATCGTCCCCAGTATGTCTGCTGCTTAAGTCTTATCAATAAAATATATTTTATGTATGTATGTATGTATGTATGCATGTAGTTGTGCATAAATGATTCAGTGGTTTTGTGTTAATATTCTTTCGCTAACACGAAAACAAAACTGAAGCAATGTTTTCGTTCCACAACCCATCGACCTTAATGATATCAGCATGTAAACGGAAAGCTCTATTATCGATTTTATGAAAATATCAAAAATTTTATTTCTTGTTTCTTTTGCTTAGTTTAAGATGTTTTATTTATTTATTTCAATACCCAAGGCTTTACTCTAATAATACTTCCTTTCTTGAAGTTCCATTATAATAAATGTTATGTATACACATGACGTTCCGCAGTAATACTAGTGCAATAGCATGCAGCTTTTACCACGAAGAGAAGAAGGGAGAATTGTTTATGCAAAAAATTAAAAGTAAAAAAAAAAAAAAAATCCTTTTCGGTTATTGCCCTTTTTTTTACACTACATCCAGATATATAGTTTTTGCACTTGTGAAAACTACACTGATACGCTTATATGCCGCAAGCCGAATTTTGGATAACCATCGTTGAACGTAACGTTATGGTTATTAGCCCGTGCTTAGTTGGTTAATTTCAATTATTTTAGCGAGTAAAACCGAAACATTTTTATTAAAACGTGCCTTTTTAACGACTTTTAAAATTTCTGCCTCGCGTTAAAACGATATTAACTAAAGCTTATTATTATTTGTGGCGGCATCTTTTGTTTATTTTCGTTTTCTTTTTTTTTTTGAATACGGTTTTTACATTCTTGAATTCTCTTTTCCGCATTGTAACTTCTGTTGCAAGCTTTGGAAATTTCGAATAAATAGTGGATGGACGGACTTAAAAACTCAAATCCACAAATAATGTAACGCTGCCATAACCTCAAAACATACACTTTATCGTTTTTACAGTATATAGAGGTGAATCTACGCTGAAGAAATTGTAGAGATCGACGATCCAAGCAAATTTCGAATGCATTGGGCACAGATAGACTGGCATGACTAAACCGTCCTATAACGTAACGCTAAGTTATGCCACACCGTGGACATTTTCCAAAGAATACGTACGCTGAGAACGTACGTACGTGGAAGACTGACAAAATTAATTGGCCCACAATGGAAAAGAAAAAAGCAAATCGTGTAAAAAAGAAATTTTGCGAAAAGCATAAGTAACATAAAAGGATCGGACATTGAATTAATGTAATGTTTACATAATGAAAGTTACAAACCTATTGAAAAACTTAATATGCCGCTTGGTGTTCAGTGTTAAATGCGGACGCTGAAAAGCAAGGCAGATAAATAACTTGAGGTCAATGACTTTTGCAGCAAACACACAATATCTGTTTTTTGTTCTTTTCAAATTCTCTGGTCGGATCTCGAAGAACAAGTGCATAGAATACATTTGTATTTGTGCAACCCATTCACGCATACAATTGCGTATATCCTTCAATGTACATCGAATGAACTAATAAAAATGTTACATATATATACTTGTCTTTGGTCGAATTTCGTATATATGCCACCTAAAGTGAATATAAGAAAATTGCAATGTTTTCTTAAATTGCGTCAATAAGTCAATCATTAAAAATCTTTACCTACATTTCTTGCGTGTCTTTCATTAATATCTGTATTAAGATTCAAAAGTTGTCTTGGATTGTCAATTCTAGAGAAAACTGAAAGTTCCATCGAGGATATGTCGAGATTAAGTTGGTTTTGATTCCCGTCCTCATTAGACATAAGTTTATTGTAAGGCAAACGCTATACACTAATGTAATGTTAAAGGATCCCTTACGTACATATATTATGTAAATATAAAAATGTAGCTGTAGTTTATCAAAATAATTTAGAGCAAATTACAATAGAAAATTAAAACTCCTTACGGGTTCTTTTAGATCAACTTTAAAATGGATCCGACCAACCCAAAAATGCGTGCTTTGCTAAATGCTAAAGCGTTGGAATAACACGGGGATACGCAAAAAAGTGGTTTAAGTCCAGTGTTTTAATATCTACTATCAGCTTGTGTACAGCATTTGATTGCAGCATGCATGAAACGATTAAATGTCTTAGCACTCATACCGGAAATTATATTTCTATATCACTCGACAGCATTGCTTTGCCATTGTATTCAATTTATTTGTATTGCGCATAATTATGCTTGGTAGTTGTGGACGCAAGCTTATTTTCATTCAGGTGGGGCACATTCTGTTAAAGATCATATTTAACCTCTACACCAAAAGTTGCCTAAAAAAGGTTACGCGGCGAAAAAGTGATTCACTTCTTGAAGTGACCGAAAAATATTTGGGACTTCTTTTCTTTTTCCAAACATTGTTTTGAAATCATAATAGTGGTTTCTTTACAGAGACAGATGGCTAGATATTGTCTCATTGATTCCGCTACTTTGACTAATCAAGAGTACGGATACTTTCCAGGATTTCTGTGGGGCATAATCTAATGTGCAAATCTGATATGTCTAACGTGGTTCCGGCAGGTGATCGCCATTGTTTTTTTATTCCAATAATCTAGTTCCCTATACGAGTGGCTAAAGTATGGTCTGCGTCCGTCCAGTAAGTGTAGTAAATAGGTCGGGAAAATTTCTTCTTTCTTCCTCTGTAATTGCGACGGCAACCGGTTGCTTAACTCAATGACAGCCAAGAGTTCTACGTACTACTCGGCCTGAGGAGACGGCGTTACACCGTGTGATGGCTGCATCATAAGATGTTACCGATTATTATCACACCTGGGGCCGGTTTACAGCGGCCGATATCGAGAAAACTTGAACTTAATTTGAATGTGTTAGTTGACGGTAAAGAACTCCTCCTTCCTTCATTCGATGATGCGACGCGCGCAAACTCAGTACCAGTTACAGTAAATCCTTAGTCGATAGCAACTGCGGTCACTCCGTCGACTTTACTCGACGCGCACCAGCGTCTCCGAATCCGTAGCCATAAAATTTCGAGCAAGTTTGTCGGGACTGAGTTATCTGCTTGCGAATATTCCATGTGAAATGACAAATTTGACATACTTCCCTTCTTTAATAAGTGACTACGAAAATGTCTGCTCCAGAAAATGAAAGAAAAAAAATTCAAAAGCTTAGTGTGACAATATTTGACTGGAAAATTGAATGGAATGTAAGTAAATAAATGTATGCCGTCGTGTATCTAGGAAGAAAGTATAGAATTTATTGCGGAAAACACCAACACCTAACGACATTGGATTATAGAGCGGAAAGGAAACCAAATTTACTCTTTTCAAATTACTTTTTTCCTATGGCGTTAACCTAAAATTGCGTTCGTATGATATGCATTTTGTGCAGTAGCTGTGTGTGTGGGTGGTTTTTATCTATATGGTTTAAAAGGTGAAACGTTCAAGGGACTACGTGGTTATAAATATATGAAAGTACGAGTATACGCAAATATTTTAGATAAAATAATCTACCACAAATGCCAAAGATACAGGAAAAATGCTCTCATGACATTTAAGTACTTACGGTCCTTTACCAACCGTAAGAGGAATAACAAAAGTTCCAAAAAAAAAAAAAAACAAAAAAAAAATACTTTAATTTTTGTTTTCTTTTATAAAAGACGTTTCGTTGGTATGGAGGGAATTCAGTCAATTAAAATGAAACGCCATTGAGCTTAAGCTATGTAGACTTGATGTCCTTTTTTTTCTCTCTTCTGGTCTCAAGTTTTGTAACTGCAAGAATTACAGAGACAGACCGATAAAAATCAGTACGTATGCTAATCGATTTAATGATAAAAATAATTTGCAAAGTTGTTCTTACCAAAACGAAAAAAAAAAGTTTATTGGATACTTCCTGCTTTAAATGAATTTCAAGGTTAGTCAGACTGAAGGCAGTTACAGAAAAACTTTCTAAGTAATTATGATAAAAGTTGCCTATTAAATTTTGGATTAGTTTCTACTATTAGTGGAGATGAAAGTTTCATTATTTCGAATTTTTTTTTTTTAACATTATAGAAAGATAAATCGGAATCATTTTAAATTGATTTTCAAGGAACTTTTTCTTTGATTTTGAATACGCAAAGAAGAGACAAAGTAGAATACCCGTTCAGTTTTATTTTAATATGATTCTCTCTTTACGCACATCCTTGACTTGGTATTCTTTAGAAAAAATTTAAATCTTTTTTTGCACGATTTATTTCGATTCAGAAGGTTTAATAATTCTTTTATTTTTATTTTCATTACGATTAAGATTGAATTATTTGTTCTAACAACAAATTACTAAAGATATATAGGTATTCGGTCTACACAAGTGATGCCTTCTTTACACGGTTTATTGGAAAGAAGCCGCCGCACACTAGCAATAGACAAGCAGAGAAATGTACGCGTCAGTGGATGCCATAACACTACTCTTTTTTTCATTCTTCTCCTTGTCCATATTCCGACACCCTTGCCTACATGTCTATAAGAAATATCCACTGACTAAAACAAAGTAAAAAAAGCCGCCGCATAATTGAAAAACAAGGCGGCATTCAATTCCTGTTAATTTGAGATTATGACAGTTATCAATACCTGGGCGTCTGAAAACGTCATTCCTCTCTGCTTCCTCCTAGGTTCTTGGTTTTTCTCGTATGTAAAGATCGTATACGTAGAAGTGAGATCGGCAAGGCAAAAAGATCTACGCATATCTGTACATGCTAGAGACGTTCGCTAACGTTATAGTACAGAGTTATTAAGTTAATAGATAGTAAGCTTCCTAACCAAATGCTAATGCAACAAACAAAATGACTTCATTCGAATAGACTCGTTTCTTTCGCTTTTCTTTCTCTTTTCAATTGCATAGACTTATCGAAAAGGCTGACTCAAAAATAAAGGCTTTCAAGTAAGTGTGATTGACTTTGCTATTTTACGTTGGATGAGCGTAAAAATTGAAATAAAGTTTGTACATCTTTTCTTTAGATTTTCCCTCGTGTGTATCCCATGTTCCAACAAAGATGTGAGTTCTTAACGTAGGTTTCAGTAATGCGCAATCCTACTTTTTACACATGCAAATACACACAAACGTACGTAGATAAACATAGAAATATATCCCCGCACATGTGTATGTACAATGAAAGGCAAAAGTAATAACAGAAGAATAAAATAAATTAAAATATGCAAAGTTTTCTTGTAGTTAAATTTTAAGTGAAAAGTAAGAAAAGTATATAAGCAGGACGTATAAAACACGAATAATTTCTAGCTTTGAATTTGCATTTTAAGCTTTTACGCTATTTCGTCGTGCGGAAGCATATTTTCCGGCTAAAATATTTTCTTTATGAAAGGCAAACCTTTCCTTACTAACACTCGCTGTATGTATACGTATACATACCTTACGATTGCTCTCTTTCCTCTTGTGAAACACACACAGTTACATTAACTAACAAATACAGAATTTTTTTAACGTGTCGTAATATTTCGATTTTTGTCGACTTTTTCTCGACGGACATAAACTTCCTTAAAGATATATTTCACAAATTACTACCACGACAGCTTATGCAACATGGAAATGTACTTAATCGTCAATATATGTATGAAAGTCGGGGCTTAAAAAAAAAGATTAATATCTTAAAATCGCTTTTACTAAAACATCCTTTGCTTTGCTAGTAAAATAGCATTATCAAACAATTTCCTGATATTTGTTTTTTCTTAAATATTTTTAACACATTTTCAACTTTTATTATTAGTTTAAAAAATTAGAATTTTTTTACATCGTCATTAAGAATTAAAAAAAAAAAAAGAAGAATTTTAATTACCACGACCTGACGAGCTTGCGATTTGTCGGAACAAATTGTAAACGTTCTATTGCGATGATGAAATCTTGACTGAGGCAAAAAATTATCATAGTAGTTGAGCGTAGTGAAAAGGTCCTCAATACACACCACTTAACCACAAGATACTGTTTAAAGAGAGAAAAAGAGAGAGAGACGGAGAGAGAGAGAGAGAGAGAGAGAGAGAGAGAGAGAGAGAGAGCAGAATAAACAGCTTACGTTTAACATAAGCGGATGTAAAGGAGCCACTTTGAATTTTCATTTCTACTATGCCTGCATGAGGTCAGTAATTACAACTCCGTCCCGAAGAATAGAAAGTGCAAAAAATTCCTATTTGTCATATTAAGCTATTCAACAGAGATTCGCAATTAATTAAATCACACGTTCTGTGCAATAAATTAACTAAGAGAAATAGAAGAGAGAGGCAGAGAGAGGAAGAGAAAGTGTCTACAGTCATAACCGAAATATTGGATGCGCAATCTCTCAAATATAGTGGTTTTATATTTTACTACAATTAGGTAAAGTATCGATTCCCGAAACTTGCACTACAGACAGAGAAATGTGCTTAAAACTACTCCCTTTTTACGTTACAATTATTTATAAACATTGACTGAGCTGAAGACAAGGCTTCCTTCTAAAGATTAAAGATTACCATGAAATCTTCAATTGAAGGCAAAATGTTGTAGTTTACGGAAAATATTTTGTTAGAAGTCTTATTAAAAAACATTCAATAGTGTAACAATACCGTCCTGTCGACGAGAGTAGCTGTTTCCTTGTCATCTGTATCATATTTTCGCTTTCCCGCTTTAAGTATGTCATGTGGGTGAAGGCATGTAAAATTGAGTGCCTTTGACACTTTTCCGGTCGAAAGAGAATAGGAGAGTGGCTATAAGAAGCCTCGGCTACTTTGATACGATATAATGTGCATTAAAAGGCGATCCTAACGTTGGAGCAAAATAACAGAGTGTACAAAAAAATTTTAATCGTTTTTCTTTGTGCTTATTTCACTTTTGCATAAAATATAAACTAGATGGGGAAAGCAAACCTCACATTCAACTATGAAGAAATTTGCAATTTTCTTGCTATATTCAGTGAAGTACTTCAGCAAAGTGGCACAACAAAAGTGGAAAGAAAAGAAGAAAATGGCAGAACAAAACTCCTCTTTTATTTATTTACTTTAGACTTAAAAGGCACTATAACGGATATAAAGGCAATTAAAAACATTATAGTCGGGTAAGGCCAATCATAAAACGACAATTATTTATTTTTTGCCCAAATGTACTAAATTTGATTTGTTTTTCTCAAAAATTTTATTTTTCTTCGCCCGCTTTCGTTAGAAAAAGTCATAAATTAGATTTTGTCGCTAAACGTGGGCTTACTTCTCATCCTTTCCCATGTTGCGTTTGGCGGAGTCCAAAAACGAGCTCTGAGGGGGAGAAGAAGCACCTAATTTTTAGCTTGAAAAAGACGCATTGAGCTAAATAAAATAAGCGCCTTTAGAAAATACCGTTCACTATCATTACTCTTTACATTTACAACTGCCGTTAATTAAAGACCTTATTTATAAAATTAATAAAACCGCAGAAAAGGCAGCGGCTATAAAATCTTGAGCTGAAAACTTTAAAACTATTTCACTCTACTTAAAAACGACCAAATCTTTAAAAATTCCATTCTTTTTAATAGCCCTTATATTCAACATTCGAATATAAAGCTTCGATGGTTATTCTGATTGTCGCCAAAAATTGTATATTCTACATAGAAAGGAGTTTGATAACATTTTCAAATTTTTGTTAGTTACAATATATGAGCTGCAGTAGAAGCGTTATAAAATATAAAAGTTTATGTACTTAGGCATAGAATCTTTCTAGAATTTCAACATCGTATAATAATGCGGAAACATGGACGTTATGAAATTTACGAAGAGTGCTGCGTTGATCAATAATATATAATCTATAGAATAAAGAAAACATATCACTTACCTAAAGTCGCTGTCATTGGTAGCCTTTATCTGTATAGTGATTTCCCGTAAAATTTTATTTTAATTAGATTTCATTTTCAATTTTTCTTTTTTGCTAATATTGTAGCGCGAACTTTGACAACACAACTGAATTAATAACTTGTTCTTCACTATTTCACAATTGATTGAGTGATTTCTCATATCGCTATTAAACAATTTTATTTTTATTTTTCTCTTCCTCTTATTCACTTTTTGTTCGCATATAATTATTTTGCTTTTATAAATAATGGCCAAAAACGAAGAGAATTTACTTTTAATTATTTTGCTTTTCTTTTAAACACAACATGACGTACACAGAACAAACGAGCGCATTTAAAAATCTACATTCATCACCGGCATAATAATGGTAACTAATGCAAAATGGAGTTTTGGCAGGTGTTACTCCGAAATCAATTATAAAACCCGAGTGCAATTTTCACTTGTTTCACCACTTGTGTGATATTTATTAAAATCCGACATTATATGATTTAACCACTATCCAACAAGAATCAAAAAAAATTTGCTAGAAATTTTTACATAACTTTTTACTACAATAGATTTGATTTATTCGCGAAATTCCTATTCAATTGCTAATAGGAGAAACTCAACGAGATTGCTTTTCGTTTACTAAGCTTAATATGATCGGATTGTAATAAAGCAGAGCAATGCTGTCTACTTTATTCTAACGTTCTAATCACATTAGCTGTTCAGTGATTTAATGTATATTTAGGTATAGTTTTTATCACTTTATTACTTACTATTATTTTAGTCTGAATGAATATTTCAACGCTTCGTAAATACCCTATAACTTGATACGAATAAAATACATAACATAATACTTACTTTTGGTGCGGAGTTTGCCACTACATCTAACATCTCAAAATCACTAAATGGAAAAAAACTCGAAATCGCTTATTTAATTAAAACTGCATGCTATTTGGCAGCATTTTTATTAATATGCCGCGGTGTTTGCAATTGAATTCGTAAAGAAATTTAATGAACGATTGCAAGAGTAGTTGTAATTGTTTTTCAGCCCATTGTCAGCCATGATGCGAAAGACATTGGAAGAAACGAAGAAAAAAATATACAAATATTTTTCTCGATTAAATTTAAAACTATTTTTTATCAAATAATAGCAACAAGTTGCAACAATATTAAAAAGCTGGATTGTAGCGATTTTTAGTATTTAGCGAAACACAACATTTTATTGAATTTAACTGACAATGAATTCAACCTATATCAAAAATATAGCCCTTTCACGTCTAACAGGGAAGAAACAGAAGAACTTTATGCAGGCATTAAAAGTTCGACATTTTGGCCATATAAAGGCTTTTTTTTTATGACCAGCCACTTAGGGAATGTCCCCTATACCTGCGGGCACAATGATGATCGGGAAACGTTATAGGAAGAGAACGGTGGGTAGAGGGTGTAGTGTTTGTGCGAACGTGTGTCTTGAAAATAGAGGCACCAGGTAAGTTGGGGCAGATCACCGCTGGTCGCTTACTTTTCGCACTCTGGCTACATGGACGAGGGCCAAGAAAATTGCCTGATCTTATCCAGTAGTTGGCAGGTCTGATAAATGTGCTTTAGTTTTTAGTAAAAGTAAGAGACATATTTTTCAATTTATTATTATACTTTGTATTTAATAATTTACATAGTTTGTAAACATTTTTGATTTATTTCTTTATTTTCTTTTCTTAATAAATTCAAACAAAGTTTTCATCGTTTAATTTAAAGCGATTGATCATACTCGCATACTTACTATACATGCATACATAATTTGTATTTTATTAATCATATATAAAATAAAAGTTGACCTTTTAAATGAAAATACAATAACAAGTAGTGGAGTAATTGTGAGTGTATCTCATGGATGTTTACTTTTACTTTCTAATGGGAAATATCTACAAATTATCTTCAGATACATCAAAAATTAAATATATGGTAGACAAAAGCTGTTATGAAAATTTTAAGCAATAACAAAGCCAAAGAATCATTACATATATACGCGTATTTACAGAAATTTAATGAAAAATAAACTAGCCGCTCAAAAATAAAATATATACAGGTGGACAATAAATATTATAAGAAAGCAAAAAAAAACAAAAAAAAAAATGTGAAGAGTATCAACACGAAAATTGTTAAACACTTTTCGCTAACATAAATCAAACATCATCGGAATATATATATATATATATATATATGCAAGAAAACCTAAAAGTTCGTAGACCACTTACGCAGCCAGGTATAATAATGGTATGCAAGTATGCTTTCAAGGAAATGTCTAGAAAAGACGTTATTAAAATGCAAATACTCTTAGAGGCCTGCAGAAAGACTTAAAAAGGAAACACTCAGCTTAGAACGATTTTAAAGAAACATCAGTCGTCGATTGCTTTGTTACATCATACGTTACATCAGTATGCGCACGAGGGACGTATGCGCATACAAGCAAATAATATGATAAGTTCTTAAGTAAACAATATCAAACAGAAAAAGAAAGGAACGGGCACACAATCTCATAAAAATTATTCGCATGGTTTGCTAACCATTCCTGCCATGAAGTTGTCATCGCTTTTCGCTTCTTGGTTACACTAACGCCGACCTATGTAACACGCAACCCCATAAGTTCATAGGACGAAATGTTTAGTAAGTGTATCTTATAAACAAACTAATGGGTGTGGTCCAGAAGATTTCACACATTTCATGTGGAAAAAGAATTCACTTGGAATTTTGTATTGATCGACAGGAATCTGTACTGTAAAGTTTTCTTATTAATAAAGAAACAAACAACTTGATAACGACAACTTAGACATCGTCATATCAATCACTTTTTCAAAAAACTTCGGCGATGGATGATTTCATAAAGAAGTCTACAAGAAAGAATGTCCTTCTGAAACGGTCATGTCGTTCTTTTCGTAACGTGTATCGTTTTGGTCCGTTTCAAAGCCACTCGCACTTGGGCTACGAAACTCTGACAGGAAAGTTTAGGAAATTCAAGTCTTATATAAAATGCGCTCGATTTATGAAATAGATTAGGTTTAGTAAGTTCTCAAGCAATAGGAAGTTCACAATAGGAACAACCATACTACCTATAGCGCCTACCGAAATTGACCAGCTTATGTTTTTTTCGGCATTTGGTTTTTCCTTCCCTGCCTTCCATATTGAAAGGCGGAGAGAGAGCGAGAGAGAGAGAGCAGACGTACTACAAATAAATTTCATTTCATATTATAGTTGATTTGTTTTGTAAATTTTCATTAAATCTTGTTGACAGTTGATTAGTTTTAGTAAGAAATTTCAAAGATTGGGAATGATTTGAAATCAATAAAAGCGAAGAAGTTCGCAAAAGCATAGAGGGATTATCAATTAGTGATATAAATGCATTCCAATAAAATTACGGGAATAAATGATTCGAAGCTTAGTCTTTACGGATCTTCTGATGCTTTCTTTATTTAATATTAATTAAGCTTTTATTCGCAAGTTTGAAGAATATTCTTTTAATGCAATATCTTTTTTGCTCACGCCTTGAGCAGTTATACAATTGTACGAAATTTAGTCGGCTCATTATTAAAACATCGCTCTTTTTTTTAATATACATATATATACTATATATATCACTGCTGCCACAGTGTTTTTAAAGAACTGTAATTATAAGGAACTATTGTTAAAAGTTTGAAAGGAAGATGTTGTTGTTGTTGTTGTTGTTTACAATTTTCTACTTATCTACTTCAATGACTAATAAATAACTGTATAATGAAGGTGAAGCTTCACAAACGAAACCTGTGACTAAAGTTTATAGTAATTATATACATTGCATAAATACGTAAATTAATATCTACATATATATACATATATATATATATATATATATATATAATAAAACTTAAACTAATTCAAATAATCCAAACTATTATAGTAAAAATGTTCGTTTCCGTCTTCCGTCTTTTCACAAATTTCCCGCCTAATTAAATCTTCATAATTGTATTTATAAAAACTACGATTACTAGTAGAGTCATCTTCGGATTGTTGCCAAGATCCATAGTCACCAGAAGTATCGACGTTGTACTCTTCCAAGGAAGACAAAATTGAATTATTTACTTCTTCATAATTATAACGCATATGATTGACTTTAAATAAATCATTTTCATAATATGTCGATTTCTCATCGTTTATAATAAAATTTTCTTCTCTTATCCTGTACATGCGTCTATGATCTTTAATCATTTCAGTGGACTTCTCTTCCTTTTCTAATGTACTGCAATTATTCCTAAAGGGAGTGCAATTCATTTTTATGTGATTATCATCATCCAACGAATCGCTGAAACCATAATCAAATGTTACCAAAACCGTATCACTGCCAGGATCTGATGAATTCATATATGAAGCATATGATGTATAAAAATCTAATTCATCGCTTCCTTTGTCGCATTCGATATCTTCATTGAGTGATAACGACTCGTCTGGATTATATTTTTTTATATAACGTTCGTCCGTTACTTTAAGACTGCCAGAGTTGTCGACAAGTTCCTTTTCAAAATATTGACTCAATGTGATTTTATTGGATTTGAATTCCGACTGATAATCCTTATTTTCGACTGTTGTTAGATTCAGTATATCTTTCTCGAAATATTTATTTAATCCGGATTTTTCGAAAGGATTTTCGTCTCTTTCCAAATAACCGTAATTTCTATCAAATGAGAAATTCTGGCATCGCAGGGCAAAATTGCGAAAGAGAATAAGAGCAAAAAATATAGAAAATGAAAAAAAATATTTTAAAAAATAATTTTTAATACATAATTTGCTTTTACTTAAGCTAACAAAAGGAAATTATTTTAAAACTAACTTAAATCGATGATTAATAGGTGGAGTTTTAAAGGGTTAAGAGGTGGTAGGAAATGTTATTTTTTACAAAATCGTTGTTATTCCATTTAGTTAGCAGCGAGTTTTTATATACAATTTATTAAAAACAAGTTAATCTAAGGTTAGGTGTGAAGGAGTGAAGCGTTTTATAAGCTATAAGCTCAGAATATCTTCAGTACCGTTGAACCATCTATTGCTTACTGATATACATTCCCATCGAGCTTTGCCGACACCAGGCAAGCGACAAAAAGTTTATGTTATATCGAAATTAGCAAAGAAATGAAGCGGAAATAAATTAGCTTTCGGTACGGACCGATGAAAATGTATTGAAATTTATATTAATTATATTGGGTTGTTGTGAGTTAGTGCAAAGCTACATTGACATTGCACTTTTATAAGGAAGCGGAATCACGCAAGCGCAATCAAAAGCAGAAAGAAGAAGATTATATGCATCTAAGGAAACTTCATTTGAATATTTTAGAGCACTGTTATGAAGAAGCTTGATATGGCTTCAAAAAACCTCGTTCTTGGCTTAACCCTATCTAGACATTGGAAAACCATCGTTATATAAAGAAAAGATGTATTCCTGAGCTTATGTATCTTTTCAACTAAGGCAAGCGTGATTATAGACGGGCAGCTTTTGCTTCTGGAAATCATCTTTTTTTTAATTTTCCGAAGTTCGGCCGTATTCCGGATTAAGTATCGCCATGGACAGCCAATAAAATATTCTGGGATGCATACCCCGTATCGTTCCTATATCAATAACGGACAAAATACGCGGCCTGAAACGAACGATATGACTATATGCGAAAACGCATAAAGGCGAACGAACAGGCGCAATAATTATTTTCGGGGTTTTCTGATGGAACAATGGAATTAGAAAAACACATAATGGGACCCTAGATATGCTAAAGGAAAAAGGAATTTTTGATTCTAAAGTCAAGAAAGGGAAATCACGTAAGGGAGGCTTAGAGAGACTGCCATCTTTCAGCTAATTGCAGCAAATGTAAGATCAATTGATCAAATACAACATATAATATCCAGTTCCTGATAACACACCCACTGCAGAGCTATCAAATTAATCTTCACGTATCGAGTTCAACGTATTTCACTCCATCTAAATAAAATTTACAGTTGCAGTGACAGTGTACTAATAGTTGGCATAGAGTTTAGAGACAATTAAACCCAAATGAGAATATAAGAGCGTAGCAAGTGTAATAACCATAACGAATAAAAGAAACCATAACTAATCAATGCCATATCCATGTTGAAGATCTCCTGGTGCGACATGCAGGGATACAATGTAAAAAATTTGATATGTTTATCTTTAATATTCACGTAGCACGATCCGCCGATGCAAACCCGATTACAATACAAGAAAAAGGATAAACAATGGTATCAACTGCACCTTCGAAAACTCATCGATCGGTAGCTGACAAATTAAAACTTAAAAAAAAAAAAAAAAAACCCTTCATGATTATTGGGACGGCAATATGAAGACGATTATAAATTCTTTATTTGTTACGATATAATTTTAATCTAAGGGCAGAGACAATTAATTGTAACCATTGTAGTGGGAAAGGTGGTTATATAGAGAGTAAGAGAGGGGAAAAGATTAATTCAGGAAATTACAAAAAAATAACACTACGTTTACAGAAAACTTGAAAAGCTTAACTAAAAGCTAATGTAAGAACTAAACACAGAAGGGTAGTAGGAAAGGAGAAAAATAAATCAATTAATTGTAAAATAAACTTACAGGCATTTTTTAAGTAAAACCGAATTGTCTTGGTTAGCGCAAGGACTAGAAGATACGTAACGATGAATATTAGGAACGTAACGTAGAACGATGTAAGCGACTGCGACTGCGATTAGATTAGCGTATATTGAGATTGAGCGTATATTTGTGTGGCTAAGAGCTTTTTCAGTTTTTTGTTTTTTCATTTATAGTTATTTAGGTAGATAAGTCACTCGATCAGTTTCCTTCGGCCAGGTTCTCATTGGTTTAGCGACAATAACATTAACATATCCATATCCATATATAGCGATTTTGTTTGCTTTTTTTCATTTGTTGTTTATTAATTATACACAATTCAACCCAACCATAGCCATGTTCAGAAAGAGTCCTATATATATATATATATACACATACACATAAAGATTTAGGTATATACATACACATATACGGTATAGTTAGCCAGGCATGCTTAACAAGTTAGAATTTGTTGTTGTTGTTGTTGACGTAAAAGCATTCTTGAATCCATTGAATCGATTTCATAAGTAGTGCAGTGATAAACGATAAAGATCGGTAGTTATTGGCGATCCTTAAGAGAAATATCACAATTTATTTTATTTACACAGGCATTCCGTTAAAAACAAATTATTATTGTATTCGCTTCTTTTTTTTTTTTTTTTTTTCTTAATTATTTTATGTTTGTTTGTTAACAATAATCGTTAGAGTTTTTTCTTTCACAAAGTATTTCAATTTACTCTTTGGGTGGTTTTCAATATTTACTTTTTATTTTATTTGATTTGCTATTTGATTTGTTAACGTTACGTATAGAACGAAGGATGACGAAAGTGTAAGCATAAATGTGTTTTAGCGTAAAGAGAAAGAAGAAAAAGTTGAGAATATATATATATATATATATATATGTATGTATATATATATATATATATGTATAAAATATAAAATTAAAAATTCAATTAATAAAAGGTTAGGCAAAATACAATAAATACAATTATGTAAGAATATGAAAGTATGTCTTATTTGTATGTATGTATGTGTATCCCTTAATCGATAACTTTGAATAATGTTTTCCAAATTGTTTTTCCTTAAACAAATGCGCATGCGCTCTTAAGTTAAAATGATTGATTAGTGATAGATAATGATATGGTATAAAACGACCGATTGCTTTAGAATGAATCCCATATTCCCGCTCTTATGTTCTTATGTGCAACATTTGATGTTAGTGAATGGGACGATTTATCTCTGTATAGAAAAAAATAAGAAAAAGAAAGAAGAATAGCGCAAAACGGGTCGAAATACTTTTGGAATAGAGAAATAGTTGAGTACAATGCTGAAAAATTACTGGGAAGATTAGTAAATGTTTGTTTTTATATTCATCCCAGAAGTAGGATTTCACTACACTTATCTTTCCGCCTCTAACGAAGACAAAAACATATAAGAAGGCCAACCAATAAACATGGAACTTTCAAGTTCCTTTCCTTATCATACGATTTCAGATATCATATGATTAGTACGATAGCTTGATAGATACCGGCGCTTTTAAAAGACTTTACTGTTAAAAGTCATTTCTCTGGCGAAATGAATAATCTCAGATCGATGAGAAAAGCAGTTGAACTAGATTGAATCGAAAGGCCACATGGAAGCAGAAATATTGCGAATTTTGAGAGTAAACCGTTTTCGATTTTTCGATGATGAATTTTTTTTACCGTGAATAATTTTTAGCAATTTAACAGTGTTGATATTAGAATTAAATATGAATTATAAGTATAAAGAGAGCAGTTTAAGCTGTGACACTGTAACGCCAGGTGTACAGCAACTTACGCTTACGTATAATTTAAATAAATTCTTGAAAATATTCCGAGAAAAATGTGGCGAATTTGTTACCTAGATCATCGAAGGAATCGGTAAGATCAGTAAGTGCACCCTTGGGAGGATATTTTAATCGCACACATTCTGTACAATCCAGCTACAAATAAACTTAGAAGGAAAAAAAACTAGAAGAAAGAAGAGAAATTCGAAGAAAATGTAATGCTAATCTATTGCACTTGTATTTTAGATAGTTGTCTATATCTACATTTATAAGAATATATGCTCGGTTGTTTTAATCATCATCGATATTGTTGCAATTTTTCTCACCTGTAAATATTGAATGCGCATGAAGGAGTGAAGGTTACATCTCATCTGTTAAAATGTTGAAAGAACTAGTGGCTTGTTCCTTACCAACTAAATTTTCGGGAAAAACAAATCTCAAAAGTAAGAAATATACTGGAAAAAGTGACATGAAATTTAAACATTCACCCTTACACAATATAGTCAGTCGCGATCTATGTTTCTCAAAAAAAAAAAAAACAATCGCTTTTTTCTAGTTGGCAAACATAATTGTAGTCGAGGCAATGTATTCAGAGGAGAAAATATTTGATTTTCCAAGCAAAGCATGCGAGTGCTTAAAACTGAAACTTTTAAGACGACGCTAAGCACAACCACAGAGAATTTTCATTGTTTTCATTCGAATTTTTTTGCAAAATCTTTAAGAGAATATTTGCTGAAGCATATCAAAGAAGATTTTCAACAAGTTTGCTTAAATATTAGTTACTAATAAAAATCTAGCATTTTCTTTGGTCGAAAATTCCCGTTTTAACCAACCGCACGCACAAAAATCAACTAATTCTATACGTAAATTAAAAATGCATCGTGAAAATGCTTCCGATGTTGCCGTTTTTTAATAACTTTCAAAACTAGCTTTCCTTCCTTTATAACGTTTATGATTATTGTTAGCTTTCCGTGCATCCGGAAAGGCATTGAGTCTATTTTTTACAAGTTTGCGTTGCCTCGAACATCATAAAGTACTGTGAAGTGTTAATGGTATACAAATTGTCAGTATATAATGAAAGATCAGTTGAAGGCATCGGTAGGAATATCTGTTTCGATTAAGTGATCTCAGATTATGGATAAAATTCTTTTTGCGTGTAACAAGTCGGCTTTGTGAACCTACTAGGCAAGAGAGAGACAGAGAGAGAAAGAGAGAGAGGGAGATATGTCCTTCTTACTTAAGGGCCAACACTCAATAAAAGAAAAGATTTGTCGTAAAGTTATGCAA